TCTTCCATGCTTGTGATGAGTTGCGATACGTAATTTTCAAAATAAAAATTTTATAATAATCAAATACAAAAAATAATTAATATAATAGTAATATATTACATAGTGAATGTTATTATTGGGGTGGAGATTTGGAAGATTAATTCTAAAATTCTGTCATCAATTCTAAAAGCAAAAAAAAAAAAAAAAAAAAAAAAAAAAAAAAAAACCAATGGTTAAGAGAAAAATTAAAAACAAAAACACAAGCTTAAGAGGGCGAGCAAGTTGCACTGAAAGCTCGAACAAGGCACAAACGTTTTCTTCATGCGGGCTCCACATGTTTAGTCTAAAAATCACACCTTCTGCAAAGACTTATTTCCTTCTCTTTCCTCTCCCTCTCTCCTCCACATCAGCATTGCTATCCTAAAAAACTGAGCAAACTCCACTGATAGAAATGCTCTTGGTGTTTATACTTTATTATTATTATTATTTTTTTAAAATTGAACTCTATACCCTAGAACTGTTATTAATAAAGTTTTTTTTTTTTTTTTTTAACAACTAAACTAGTTTGATCAATTAAATTGTGTATAATAAAATGCACCATTTATATATATATATATATATATATATATATATATATATATATATATATATATATATATATATATATATATATATATATATATATATTGGATCTGGTGAGATTACCTTTGTCAGGCAAGGTGGTGAGGATTGATCTGGTACGTCTATTTGTTTTTTTGGATGGATGAGATTAGACTGAATTATGTGCCATGTGCGTGTGTTTACTGTGCAGATGGGGGTGTTGATGTCTTTTTGGTGGTGTCTTTATTAGGTAGTAATAATTGATTAGCAGATTTTATGGGCTTGTGCACTACTAATTATGGTATTTATGTGATGATTAATTATTTCATACTAAGCCGTCTTTTCGCTTTCTTATAATTCTGTCCGTCCGTTCCTCTCCAAATAATTGTTTGGCGTCGTTTCTTGGTGTTGGTCTGTGCATCATACAACTACGTGTGTGCGAAATATTAAATCATGTGTTTTTCTAGTAGGCATGTGCCTTGTATAGCTACGTGTGTGCGAGTTAAAAAATCATGACTTTCTTAATATGTCTGTGCAGTGTAGATCTACGTGTGTGCGAAATAATAAATCATGTGTTTTTAAGTAGGTCTGTGCAGTGTGCGAAAGAATAACTACATGTGTGCGAAATAATAAATCAAGTGTTTTTGTAGTCGGTCTGTACGGTGTGTATTTACGTGTGTGCGACATAATAAATTATGTGTTTTTCTAGTAGCTTTGTGCAGTATATAACTACGTGTGTGCTAAATAATAAATCATGCGTTTTCTATTAGGTCTGTGCGGTGTATAACTACGTGTGTGCGATATAATAAATCTTGCGTTTTGTACTCGGTATGTGCAGTTTGTATCTATGTGTGTGCGACGTAATAAATCTTGTGTTTTCCTACTAGCTCTGTGCATTATACAACTACGTGTGTGCGTGAGGAGAGAACCCAGCGCATCAACTTTGTTTCCGTTTACAAATGCTTAAATACATCTCACACACTATCAATTCTTAGTTGTTGCCATTAATATATTATTCAATCACATAATTAGTTGATCCTTTGCATGGAATATATTCCAATTTATTCCTATCCATATATAGCTCCAATAATACAATTACATATTCACCCTTATGCATAGTGTACTACCTTAAATATAATAAATCTCTTTCAATCTCACCCTTTGATATGCAATGATTTAATGGATGAGATGAGGCCTCATCATCTCATCCATCTAAGTGACCTCATGGGATCCGGAGCCTCTCTCTCTCTCTCTCTCTCTCTCTCTCTCTATATATATATATATATATATATATATATATATATATATATATATATATATATATAGGCGGGTTCAGGTGCGGCAGTGTCTTACGGTGCGGTTATTTCTTACGGTGCGGCAACACCAATAGTTCACCAAATATGCACCATCAACGTTAGGAAATACACCACACAAAACAGAGTAAACAGAGCCCTGCATCACCAAACACACACCATTAGGTGTTAGTAAAAACACCATACACTGTTCGGAAATACACTATTGGGAGTGGTGAGTTATATGGTGTGTTTTTTTGCGTTTGTGGTGTATTTTGTGATGTTTTATTACATTTCATTGGGGTGTGTTTTTATTACACTGTTGGTGCATATTGTTAACACTGTTGGTGTATTCTGGAATTTGACCGCATCGCCGCACCGTAAGACGCCGCCGCATATGAGCGCTCTTCTATATATATATATATATATATATATATATATATATATATATATATATATATATATATTATTGAGGAGTTGATGCCATGCAAAATAATGAAACAACACATGTACATCCACGTCACCGCCACCTATAAGACCTCCAAATGCCTTTGCATTAAAAACCTGCGCGTCATCAACTACCCAACGCCGTGTATCCGCCTCGGGTCAATGTATGGATAAATACTATTATTGAACAAATTCTACATTATCAAATAAGTATAAGTAATGATCAATATAAATATAATAAATTGCATTGTATAATAGTTTTATTTTTACTATTTAATAATATAAATGACAACTCTAGTTGGTCAGACAATTGACTTAATAATCATAAAATTCCAAATTAGATTTCTTGTAGATGCTATGTATTGACCTTTTTGTTTTGAGTCAGTCAATTATGCGCAACCTAAATGGTTTACTTCATTATGATCCTTTACTGACTAAGATCATAGGATATATTTTCATCCAGAATGTACATTTGGGTAATGGCTATGAACTTTCTCATAAACCATAGTAATAGGAATAACAAAAACTTTTCACCATTTAACGTCACAATATAAGTAGATTTTCTTTTTAAATGCGGGTGGGGTTAGTCAACTCATATTAATTAATGAATAAAAAATGTTTTATTACCATGTCAAATGATTGGGAGATTTTGATATAAAATCTATCATTATATAACATGATAATAACCAAGACTATGTGGCCTAATGGTATCCAGGTTGGATTTTTATTTGAAAAGTTGTAAGTTTGAGCCTCAATAAAGGTGTTATTGGTCATTCAAAAAAAAAAATATATAACGTGATAATAAAACTCTTTTTCTTCAAGGTTACCATACATGGATAGCTCTAACTATGTGTTAAACGAGAATCTATTTATATATATTATTTAAAATCTCGATTCTTCTCAAATTAATACTACATGTACCATTATTGCATGCAATTGCGTATACGTATATATTATCAATATTCACACTACTAATGTATTTCTTTTTTTTTTTTTTTCAAAATGGTAGAGAGGTTAGACAGACCTTATCAGTATTCACATTTAGTATTTTTAGCCTTTATTTATTTTCTATTATTTTTAGAGGAAATGTTTTATTTGTTTTTTTTTTTTTGAATGCTTATTTGTTATTTTTTGGGTGATCAGAGAACTCAACAACTGTTACTATTTAAGGGTGTTCACAGAAAAAATCCCGTTTTAATGTAATAACTTGCAAATCACACAGAAAAGATAAATCACACGAATGATTTATTTTTATATTTACTGTTTGTAGGTAGATACTTAGAAGAAATATTTAAAATAATATTATTTACTATCTCTTGTTACGGTGTATTTTGCATTTTATTCTTTACTACCATGTTGTGTGTTGATTAACCGAAAAAAGAAATAAAAAATTCCCCCTACGATCAATAAATATGACAAGAGCAAGGTTTTAATTTTATTTTTTTTTACAATTTTATTTAAATAAAAATAATAATTCAATCTCCTAGTTATCCTTGTGTAATTATTTTAGTTCTTGAGAATTAATAATCGCAAAATTAATGCTCAATGTAACTAAATATGTGTAATTTCCTTTTATATATATGTGTGTGTGTAATTTTAGGGTGTGTTTGGTTGGAGACTTTTGCACCCTACTATATATTTTGATACTCATTACCGTATTTGTTTGCCTACTTTTGCTATCCTAAAAATTAAAAAAGTCATTGTCCCCTGCATTAAATATAAAATTTTGATACATGTATGTGTGTATACATTTTTTTTTTAGTGTATCCAGAGTTTATGCCGTTGGAGAGGTTATTGTCCATGAATTAAATATAAAATTTTGATACATGTATGTGTGTATACCTTTTTTCAGTACCCAAAACCAAGGATTCCCTCATTGTATTGTAAGCACTTCTTTTGAGTGGGACAATTGACATTTAAGGTTGTTCCATACCCAAAAATAATGATCGAACTCTTGACCTTTGTTAAAAATGGATTTCTCTTCCACTTAACCAAAGTTGATTCCAATTTCTATTTACAATAAAGAGTTAATACCATCTGAGGTCCTCCGAGTATAGTGGTTTTGCCACGTTTAGTCCTAAACTTTCAAATTGACCATTTGTGGTCCTTCAACTTTCAAATTTAACCATTCATGGTCCAAGTTAACCACCCATGATCCTTCAGTTTCGAAATTTAACCAGTAGTGGTCCTCATGAAAGGACCATGGATGGTTAAAATTTAATAGTTGAAGGACCATGTGTGGTTAACTTGGACCATGAATGGTTAAGTTTGAAAGTCGAAGGACCACATATGGTCAATTTGAAAGTTTAGGACTAGACATGGCAAAATCACTATACTCGGGGGACCTCAGATAATATTAACTCTTACAATAAAATATAGTGACCTAGTTTACTCATTCTACCAAATTGCACACATTCAATTATATGGGGATTGGAGAACAAATTGTGTAATTGATAATTATGAAAGACTAAAATAACTAAATCGAAATAACTAAGGTACCAAAATTACAATTTTTTTTCCTTAAAAAATTAGAAACAAAGAAAGTCAACCAAGAAAACTTTTGTGACTAGTGCAAACGCAGCCTGACAAAAAAATCCAACGTTCCCGACAGCTATTTCGCATTAAAAAAAAAAAAAAAAACTGAAGAAAAAAAAAAAGAAAAAGAAAATTACCCACACTCTCTTTCTCTCTCATCCACGCAGTCTCTCTCTCTAGAGAGCATTTCAGCTCACCATTTCCCACTGAAACTGAAACATTTCCTAGTCTTAAATATTAGTAGCAGCAAAAGATTCCATTGTAATATAGGACCATATCATCCATCCAGTAAATCCACTGATTCTGATACCATCATAGATTCTTGAAATTCATAGTACGACACATCATTATTGGCGCACATAATTTAACAAGAATGTTATCCAGAATAAACACTGCTGTTTCATGGATTGTTGCGCTTAGCTGCTTCATCTTCTTTACATTCTCTGAATCTAAAACCGCTCCAGAAGAAGGTAAGTCTCCCTATTCTTGATATGTATTTTCTTTTTTCTTTCTGCCCCCACTCCCCCCCCGGGGGGGGGGGGTTTAGAAAAGTTGGGATTTTTCTGAATTTCCTTCTCCCTGCAATTTTCCCATGAGATTTTATCTGTAACCCCAACAAGGAATTTGGGAGTTATGAAATGGGGGGAAAAGTTGAGTTCTTGAATTTGCAGTTTAAAAAGTTTGATCCTTTTTGTTCTATTTCACTTTAATCTAAAAATACAAGGGACAGAAGATTTATTATAACTATTGTGCTTTCTTCTTACCATCATAATTCTCAATTATTTTGCTATTTTAAGTAACTTCAGATCATTTTGTCTTCTTTTCTTATTTCTCTTCCCAATAATCATCTTTGACAGTGATATAAGATTTCTATCCTATATGTATGTTTGTTTGGATGCCAAGCAGACTGCTATGGTGATCAGTTTTTGTGCCCTGACTTCTGAAAATTACATGATATTTGCTGCCTCTTTGGCTTACAATGGTGAGGGCATGAGAGTTACCTAATTTGGAATTTGAAAGTACAATCACTTTGCTGAGAAGTATTGTGAATTTCTTTAACTTTTATCCTCAATACCATTTTTAAAAAAATCTTGAATCTCTGTGCAATTCTTAAAATTTGGTCATCAACAATTGTATGGCATGTGCCAAGTGTCAAAGATAGATCATGGTGATCAAGGTTACAAGTTCGACCCCCAATGGGAGCCGTCTATTGGCCTTCTTGGTTTGATCCGACAATCTAGCCTGGTTTACCTCCTTGTGGTCCTTTGCTGGCTAGGGTCACAAGGCGGGGTTTAATCTTGGCTGCGGGTTTCCTAGTCACTCAAAAAAAAGAAAGAAAAGAAAAGATAGATCATGGTGATTATTAAACCTTAATGTTTCAGTCATGAAACAACTGTCTGTTATATGATGTTTTATTTCAATATCGATGTCTCTCAGTGGATGCACTGCAACTAATCGCCACTACAATGGGGGCAAAAAACTGGAAGTTCGATCCCGATCCTTGTGAAAGTAAGGAAGTGGGGGTAGTACCACAGCCACCGGTTACATACACTGAGAATATTGTTGAATGCAACTGCAACGTTGGGAATGATTCATTGTGCCATATTCGGAGAATGTAAGTTTACATCCCTTATATATGTTCGTAACCAAGAAAATATCATTCCCAACTTCCAATATTAACTATGATGAATGATTTCCACCAGTGTGATAAAGGGTTACAGTCTTCCTGGAGTTCTCCCACCGGAGCTGGTAAAACTTCCCTACATACAAGAAGTGTAAGAGCCTTTTCATATGCATGTTTTACAGTTGTTTTTTCAATTGATGCAAATCTAGAACCAACAATTTGAATTTCCCCGATTTTCAGAGATTTTGCATTAAATTACCTCGGGGGTACAATACCATTAGAATGGGGCACAGCACCGTTAACATCCATGTGAGCTTCATCTTCTTTAGACGAATAAGTTTTTATTGATGCATTCGAGCAACATAGTAATTTCAGAGTTTTTGATCCAGCTCTGTTCTTGTAAACCGGTTGTCAGGGGAAATACCAAAGGTTTTAGGGCGTTTAACCAACCTCACATACCTGTAAGTATTGGATTTTCATAATTCATATTCAAATATCACTTTTTCCTTACACAATTTCGTTAATTCTCTCTGATTGTAATTCCAGGAATCTTGAAGGGAACCAATTTTCGGGAACTATTCCTTCTGAACTTGGGAAACTGATAAACTTGCAATCTCTGTGAGATTCTTTTCTTCTTCCTTTGTGTTTGCGCTTTCTATCTGTGTACTGAAGGGTTAATAACTACCTTAATGATTCAGGATATTGTCCTCCAATCTTTTGGTGGGAAACTTGCCAGATACATTCTCGGGACTTGTGAAGTTAACGGATTTGTAAGCACATGTCTCTGTCTGTATATTGTGGTTTAAATTTCGGTTTTGATGGTCATATTTGACGGTCTGTCCTTTACATTGCAGTAGGATAAATGACAACAACTTGAGCGGGCCAATTCCAGATTTTATACAGAACTGGAAACAACTCCAGAAATTGTAAGATCATCTATGCTTGCACATATTCCCGAATTCTGTTAGCAACATATGTTTGCTTAATTTTTGGTATCTAATATTTAGTCTGGGTAAATAATTAAGAGAGCTGATTGGCACTGGACTTGAGGGCCCTATTCCATCCTATATATCCGTTCTTGATAACTTAGCTGACCTGTGAGTATGAAACCATCTTAAACATTGAATTAACTTAGCGATCTGTCTGATAAATTCTCATGGTGCATCTTCTTGTACAGGAGGATAAGCGACATAAAAGGACCTTCTCAAAAATTTCCTCCACTGAATAATATGAGTAGCCTAAATATAACGTATGTTGAGTGTATAATTTATCGGGGATTGTGTTTGCACAGCTGCTTACATTTATTAATACGGGTCATTCTTGGTTTCAGCGTGTTGAGGAATTGCAACATTTCTGATGAAATTCCTCCCTATATTTGGGAATTTAAATCCCTGCAAACATTGTAAGTAATTAGCATGGCGTTCAAAAGTGAAGTTTCTGTTTCTTGCTTTACTTTGCTTATTATCTTCTTATGGACTTGTCCCTTTCAAACGCTTGTTTGGCTAAAGATTTGTGTGCACACTGGGCAACCAGAAGTTTCAAGAAACGAAAAGGAAACTTCGAATACGAGAATTTGACCTTCTCTGCTATCAAATCTGTTTTCGTTTTGTCCAGGGATCTCAGTTTCAACAATCTTGTGGGAGAACTTCCAAATTTTGTTAGTGCAAGAAGTGGGCTAAATTTTGTGTAAGTCACTATCTTTATATAAATTTCTGGTCAGGGATATTTCTAGGCATCATATTTATCGTGACAAGTTGTTTTTTTCCAACTGCATACGAGATACTAATTGAATGCTAATTCTGTGAATAGGTTTTTAACCGGCAACAAGCTCAGTGGAGATGTGCCCGAGTCAGTCTTGAAGCCTGGAATTAATCTGTATGTTGGGTTAGCATTAACTTATATTTTAGCAAAATTCGAGGATTTCACTATATTTTTGCACAATTTTTATTTTCTACAGTTTCATCTCTCGACATGCCATTAATACATGTTGACTTCCTAAAAATATTTTTCTACACGCCTCTATGACATCTGACGTTGTTTTGTTACTTTTTCAGTGATCTTTCCTACAATAATTTTACATGGCAAGGCCCAGATCAGCCTGCTTGCGAAACAAGGTCAGAATGTTTTTTTTTTTTTTTTTTTAATTTAAAGTTTATTTTGTATATGCATCGATGGAACATGTGTCCTGACAGATTCTTTTTTACGTATTTTTCGTACTTAGGAATCTATATGTGAACTTGTACAAGAGCTCTTCAAACGAAAGTTCCATGTAAGAAACTTCCTTTTATTAGTATTCGAAGCTTTAGATAGTTACTTTTAGTGCAAATATGCGTTTCTGTGTGAAGGAAATTTTCTAAGTTTAAGTAGTTGGTTTCCTTTTTAAAGCACAACTGAGGCAATTTATCGTGCTTTGCTTGCTACAGACGGAGAGTTCTTCCATGCACAAATCAATTCAGCTGTCCTAGATGTAAGTCTGTTGCACTTTTTTGGATGGTAAAGATTTAGTTCTGCCTAACGTATGTTATATAGGCATATACTAGTGCTATAGAAGGAAGACGGCTTCCTTGATACAAATAGCATTACTACTTTGATTGGATTCTTAGCCCTAACATCTTATGTCAAGTAAACCTAGTTAGATCAAGTGATAGCTCATAGTGAAGACGCAACTTTATTTCCTTATACCGCCAACCACATAGCCCTTCAGGCCTCCGCCCCACCTCGAACTCGTAGCCTGGCTTTGATACCACTTGTTAGGATTAAGCACTTACCCCTACGTCAAATTTTCTTATACTACTAAGTACTAACTACATAGCCCTTCAGGCCTCCGCCCAATCTCAAAACCGTAACCTGTCTCTGATACCACTTGTTAGGATTAAGCACTTACCCCTATGCCAAAAGCTATAGCTCGTAGTGAAGGCGCAACTTTATTTCCTTATAGCCAATCATATTTTCGAGAGGCTGGGTGCTGGACTTGGCCCTTCAAGCCTCCGCCCAACAATCCCCTAGCCACTTGGTGTTGGACTTGGCCCTTCACTGGCCTCTGCCGGAGTTTCTCATGGAATGATGAAAACAGTCTTATATGCATCCGTTATTCAAACAAAGGCATTTTTTGTATCACAGATGGTTGTTCCTTGCATGTAAATTCTGGGGGAAGTGATGTGTCTATCAGTGAGGGAAACCGGGAAGTTAATTATGTAGGGGATGCAGAAGTTGAAGGTGGTTCTGCAAAATACTACAATAGCAGCAGCGGTAATTGGGGATTCAGTAGCACGGGGGATTTCTTGGATGATTCTATTGATCAAAACACACGTTTCATCGAGACAATTTCATCATCAGGTCTCTCTGAATTGTATAGGAATGCTCGCGTTTCTCCTCTTTCACTTACTTATTTCAGTTATTGCTTGGAGAACGGGGGTTACAATGTGAGTCTGCACTTTGCGGAGATCATTTTTACAAATAACAATACATATTTCAGCTTCGGAAGGCGTTTCTTTGACATATATATCCAGGTGAGGTGATTGCTCATTTATCTCAACTTTACCTGCTAATTGATTTAAATTACTTACATAAACCCTTTTTTTCCCAGGAGAAATTAGTTTGGAAAGACTTCAACATTGAAGACGAGGCTCGTGGAGTTCAAAAGCCTGTTGTCAAATATTTTAATGCTACCGTAACTGATAATACCTTGGAGATTCGAATTTATTGGGCTGGGAAAGGGACTACTCGTATTCCTGCAAGAGGACATTATGGCTCTCTCATTTCAGCTATTTCAGTTGATCCACGTAAGAGTCATTGCAAATTTGATAATTTCGACCCTCTTTTGCCTTTATCTTCTCATATCTAGTTAAATTGCCCAACTTAATGTGTCTAAAGCTATTGTAAAGTGACAAGAACAACAATGCGTTTCCTCGTTTATTATTTGCGTTAATAAATCCCGAGCCTTTGTGATCCTTCTGAGTTATCTCTCTTTTTCTACAGTTTTCAAAACTTGTAAAGATGACGAGGGGGATAAGAAGAACATAGTCGTTCCTATTATTGTTGGACTATTGGTTGGGTTCTCTGTCGTGATCATCGTTGGCCTGCTTTGGTGGAAGAGATATTTGTTTTGCAAGAAAGGAAAAACCACAGGTAAACGTAATGATCATATAGAGCTTGAAGTTGCCATTTAGTGTTACTTATTTTTCGTTTTCTTTTAATAGTTTCGTTTGACTAAATCCGAAAACGAAGTTGATAGATTAGTTCTGAATTCTCCATATATGGACAGGTCTGGAAGGGGTGGAGTTGCAAATGGTTTCGTACACGTTAAAACAAATTAAAGCTGCTACAAACAACTTTGATAATGCAAACAAGCTCGGAGAAGGCGGGTTTGGTCCCGTATACAAGGTATCGATCCGAGAAGATGGCTTATAAGTGTAAAGTTTGGGGCTTCATCCTCTAACAAATGGTCTTTTTTAGGGTCGGTTAGCTGATGGTACCTTGATTGCGGTGAAGCAACTATCCTCCAAGTCGACGCAGGGAAACCGCGAGTTTTTGAACGAGATTGGCATGATTTCTTGCTTGCTACACCCGAATCTCGTTAAGCTTTACGGGTGCTGTATTGAAGGAGATCAGTTGCTGGTTGTGTATGAATACATGGAGAATAACAGCCTTGCTAGTGCATTGTTCGGTAAGTCCGTTACGTTGTAATGTTAGACACTCCCTTGGTAACGAGAAAGGATATCTAAATTTTTTTAAATACTTTGGGCGGTTTGTAATGCTTAGGCTCGGAGAAGAGTCAATTGATACTGGATTGGCCAACGAGATTCAAGATTTGCTTAGGGATTGCGAGAGGTTTAGCCTTTCTGCACGAGGAATCTAGCCTTAAGATTGTTCACAGAGACATTAAAGCTACCAATGTGCTGCTTGACCGGGACCTCAACCCGAAAATTTCAGATTTTGGACTGGCTAGGCTTACTGAAGGCGAGAAGACCCATATTAGTACGAGAGTCGCTGGAACAATGTAAGTTCGTTTTGCACTCATATCCAACTGCTAATCCTCGTTTCTTGTTTTGATTATAATATTACAAATTGTTAAAACTCTGATGGACAAACTTTTTTATGATTTAGAGGTTATATGGCACCCGAATATGCGTTATGGGGTTACTTGACCTACAAGGCAGATGTTTACAGCTTCGGAGTTGTACTGCTAGAAGTCATTAGTGGCAAGAACAATAACAACTACATGCCGAGCCACAATTGCATTTGTCTTTTAGATTGGGTACTCTCTTCATACATCTAACCATTAGTTATAATATAGTCATGAGTTTTTTCCACTTTTGATCCTACGACCATGGCATCATCTCCATATTTGGTCCTTGACTATTAATTTTTTCACATCTGGCCCCGCAACTTTTAAATCCTTGCCACATTCGACCTAATTTCCTGTTACTAGTGACCAGATTTTAGTCAAAATGACTGATCTTGAAGGGCAAAATTGTCATTTACAGTTCCCTTTCCGAGAAGTTTTAAAAAAAGTAATGAAAAATGATAAATTTTCCCTTTAAGATAAGTCACCCGTGATCGGAAATTAGGTCGGAGAGATCAAATGTGGTTGCAGAGATTTAAAAGTCGTGGTACCAAATGTCGGGAAATAGTCCCATAGTCGTGTAACCAAAAGTGGAAAGACCTATATATAGTTATTAACATAGATATCTGCAAAATGCGGGGAAATGTTAATGAATGATCTCTCATAATGTTCCAGGCTTGTCACCTGCAACTCAGCGGAAACATGGAAGAGCTCATTGATCCAAAGATGGGTGGTCTTATCAACAAAAAAGAAGCAGAAATGATAGTGAAAGTCGGGCTATTGTGCACGAGTGCAACTCCATCTCTGAGACCTATAATGTCCGAGGTTGTGGGCATGCTCGAAGGCAAAATCGCCATCCCCGACGAGATCCCAGAGGCGAGCACATACACCGATGACTTGAGGTTCAAGGCCATGAAAGACTTCCACCGCGAAAAGCTTAAGCAGATGTCCACTGGAAGCCAAACTCAGTACTCAACAACAGTTCAAACCGACTTAGGTTCTACGTCTACTTCTGCTACTGATTACTATGAATATGATCCTTCATCGCGATCCAAATGAGATATTTATACCGTTTTTCTGCTTCTCACTTGTACAGCTCGAGGGGCACTGCCATCCCACAATTCGACCATTCCCCGGCCTTCATGGTATTCATTATCTGACTAGCTAGCTGCTATAGTGTTTTGGTCTTCTTTTTTACACTTCTCATAGTGATTGTCTTGGTGAGTAAATATATGTTCAGAAGTTTTGGAGTGTAGAGACTAGAGAGGCTTTTGTACAAACTTGTTACAGAGACTGAGTACTTGAAATCTATTTTTTCATCGTTCAACAAGAAAAGGTTACTTTGAAAAACTATGTTGTGGATTTTTTGGAGACCTTCTCAGTGAGTTAGGGATAATGAGAAAGGTGGGTCTAGAAGGAAATGTAATATTAATTAGAGATTAGAGATAAATTTATTATTACTTACCAGAGAAAGTGTAAAACGAAATGTATGATATTTTTAAGGAAAAAATGTAATGTTTTTAAATAAACATATATTTAAATGTTAACCATTTATGATGGAAAAGTAATATTCATAAAGAACCCGACTCGTCTCACGTCTCATAGGAGTTTTTGCCTATATATGTAACACTAAGATAACTATAAGAGAAGATAAATTGCAATGTCCCTACTACAAACATGTAGTTGTAATACTACTTAAATATTGTTGTAATAGAAGTGTTATTCATGCCAACTATGTAGTTTATGGCACCTCTGTTATCGAATCCCAGTAATGGAGGTGTCACTGTGATGATGTTTTATTCAATCTTATACCTTGTGAAGTAGGAAATGGTAAAAAATAAAAATAAAAAATATCTCAATTCTCAAAGCACCCATAACTTGAATTTTGGGGGTAACACACATACAATTTACAAAGTGGAAAATATAAAATAGTAGCATTGTACATGCATGTCATATATCACAACTATTTCACAAAAGCAAAACATACTAGCAAGAGAGAGACAAACAACTTACACCATTACTTGTGCGTTTCAGAAAGCTCACTTAATTATTTTGGGAAATCTCACCATGTGGTTGAGTTTCTCTGATAGAAGAAAGCTGCTTTAAACTTTCCTTTAGATCCTTCAATGGAAGCTGTTCCTTTAGAACCTTCACAACTTGAGACATGGATGGTCTTTGATCTGGGTACTGGTCCAAGCACATCAAGGCTAGTTCTAACATTGTATCTGCTTCATTCCAATCCACTGTGTTAGATATGGTTTTGTCAACTAGATTCATAAAATGCCCTTCTCTCTGCTTTTCACGCGCCGCCTGCAATGCATACACACAATCATATATATATGATAACATTACTCACAACAACTAACGATGCAATGATATAATAATTAATTAAGTTTGAGTCCGATCCTCACGAGATCTGGAAGGTATTCGGTGTCAGCCCCGCTGCTAGACATTGAAATCTTTTCTTTCTTTCCACTAACAACTATAAGTACAACAACTCCAAAGCTATACACATCTGCCTTTGTTGTTAAGAGGTCATATTTTGCGTATTCAGGTGCCATGTATACCCTGCATATCCATCAGAATGCATGCTTTCAAGTGAGAACCTATTAATTGGCTATTTGATTGTTTACTTATTTACAAGTCTGAGAAAGATTATATTACACTGTTCCTTCCTCCCGTGACTTTCCCTGGTCATGGAGCCTGGAAAATCCGAAGTCAGATATCTTAGCATTGTCATGTTTGTCAAGAAAAATGGTGGTTGGTTTGATATTTCCATGAACATGTTTCTGCTTGCCCTCATGAAGAAAAGCTAGACCTTCTGCTATGCCAAGGCAAATGTTGAGCCTTTTTGCCCAATCTAATCTCGACCGGTCTGAACCTGTGATCGAGGTAACTACTGTTGTTTACTGCTGCAGCTACACTATAATAGACATGCTTGCTAAAAAAACTTCAAGGTAGAGATGGATAGAGACAGTACATACCAAAAAGTGCATTTTGAAGAGAATTATGGCCTATATCCTCATAAACAAGCAACAGTTGGTTCTTTTCTGCAATGCATCCCATCAACTTTACAAGGTTGGGATGTTCCATGAGATAAATGGTAGAATCCTTTTCTCGAAATGCACGTATTATATCTTTTGTGGCTGAAACCTTTTCAACTGCAACCACCGTTCCATTGCCAAGTGTAGCCTGAATATATTCAACTTAAGTATGTAGCTAACATTACAATGACACTTGTAGAAACTGTACTGTTAAAGAGAATTTCATTTTACTTGAACCAAAACTGTACTAACCTCATAGAAAATTCCAAAACCACCCTTACCAAGCTTGTGCTTGAAATTTTTGGCAGCAACTTTTACTTTTTGGAAGTTGTAAAGTCCTCCAGGATACAACTCAACCATTCCTACACGAAAAATCGATGGAATAAATGCACAGGACAGTATAAGCAATTGTTTAAGAAGTTGAAGTTACCTTCATGTGAATTGTCTTCCAATTTCCAGAAATAAACTATGAACACTACTAGAAGAATTAAGACAGATAATGAGATTGCAGCCATCTTTGGAGGAGACAGACCACTGTCTTTAGCTGCATCAACAAATATCAGATAAGAAAAGTAGGAAAAGTAGGTAAAGGACAAAATAAACAAGTATATATATGACTTACAAGGATATACAGAAATTGCAGATATAAGTGGACCTTGGTACATCATTGAACCCTTCCCTGACCAATATAAGTGAATCTCTAGTCGACTATTGTTAACTATAACATTTCCTATTTCCTTAGTGTAAGCCTTATTTACACCCTCTGCTTCCTTTTCTATGTTGAAATCCTTAAGTTCACATTCTTTCCCTGCAATCATAAACACCTTTCAAGATTCCAGTTTATCAGCATGATATATATAATGCAATATATATACATATACCTGGATATCCAAGTCAAAAACTCGACCTGATTTGTTGAGATATGGGGTTTTATAGTTGTTGTATCTAAGTAATTCAGCAAAGTGAAGTCTCACAGTATATTCACCATCCCTTAAACAAAATCCATAATACTTCAAGGAGATTGGGGATACACGTGCTGTACTGTAAAGAGGTTCATCACCAACACCAACAATGCATGTATTGTCCATTATGTATTCCTCATTTGTGTTGTATTCATCATTTATTGATGAGTAGGATACATATCCCATACTACTATAACCCCATCTTAAACTGCTACTCAGAAAGAAAGTTGAACTTCCATTTGAATTCAGATCGCCTTCATAAACACTTCCAGTTATTTTCATTGATTCACCACCACAATTTATATATAGTTGGTCTTTTACTGCAAAGGAAAAAAAAATGTCATTATGTTTGAAATAAATGTTCGTGTTAGGTAGGAGGACCAGTGTCCCGTGCCCACAAGCTTAAGGAGCCCACCACATTTGGTTTAATTACCACACTGTGATTGCCAGTGCTTTCATTTGTCTTTGTTCATTATCACGGCTGGAAATTATGGAATTTCCGACCACCTGAAAGTGAAATCAAGTTGAAAGCAAAAAGTGGTCGAAAATAGCAACAAAGATTTTTTCGGATATAGTTGGAACAAGACTTTTAACTTGATTTAATATCACTTTCAGGTGGTCGTAAATTCCATAATTTCCAACACTGAATTTATCACTCAACAACCAACTGAGTTGTCCAATCAGGTCTTTTATCATTAATATATACTTACATTGGTATTTTAGGTCGCTACTGCAGGTATAGCCAACATGTTCCCAATGTGTACCCCTAAAATATGAAAATTCAAACCAACTAGCCCATTTACATTTTTGTGTTTTTTGAGGGGAGGAAATGAGGAATGAGTGTCCACCAAATGAAGAGGAAGTGCTTACCCGTCACTGGAATTAAGGGATGAGAAAAAATTCCTGCAATATAAATTAAAGGAATAAGGGTGAAATAGGTCATCGAACTGCACAGAATAATGTAATTAGGCTACTGAACTTAAAAATCAACAATTAGGTCCCTAAACTAACCAATTTCAAACAATTCTTCTAATTTCAAGGTTTCCAACAGGTCAACAGGTCATCCTCTCAAATTAATTATTTTTTTAAAAAATAATTAATTTTAAATTTTGTTTAAAAAAAAAAAGACTCCGGCCGGAGACAATTGTCTCTAAGCCAGTCCTGTTTTTTTTTTTTTTTTTTTGTTTATTTATTTATTTTTTAAATTTAAATAATTAATTTTAAAAATTTATTTTTTAAAAATAATTAATTTGGAAGGATGACATGTTGACCTGTTGGAAATCTTCAAATTGGAAGAATTGTTTGAAATTGGTTAGTTTAGAGACCCAATTGTTAGTTTTTTAGGTTCAGTGACCTAATTGAATTATTGTGTGCAGTTGGATGGCCTATTTGATCCTTATTCCTAAATTAAATATCCAAAGTATGGTTGATTTGCAAAGTATGAAAAATCATAACATCTAGGGAAAAGACATAATAAAGAAAAGCTAGCATAAACAATTAGAAATACTCACAGGTTAGATGAGTTTGAATGCAAATTTTGAATATCTGAGACATTGTTTGTGAAAAGATTTTCAGATACATCGCTGCATTAAATAAAAAGTAAACAATAAGTTAAGAACAAACCACTACACATTTGAGAAAACGGTAATGGCAATTCCATTCTACACATGGATTCTTGTCCAATCCTCCAAAGTTACGTTGCATGTTTTGGGTTATGACTCGATGGAATGGAATGAGATGAGAACAAGAACAAGTGAGGCAAATTATGTTGTGGAACTGTGTCAAAACTGTTATAATAGTGAATATACAGTTCAAAAATTATGAACATAAAGTTACGTTCTATAATTATGAACATAGAGTTCAGTAATTATAAACATAGAATCGTATCCACCTTGTAAGGTGGACACGGTTTCACGGCAAAACAATTGAACAAGTGATAACTGGGTCTAACACTTTGGGTTCAAATCCGGCCTACATGATCGAGGTCGGAGCGTTATGCTGTGGACCCGTGTCCACCATGTGCATGGTGGACACGCTGTACATTCATAATTTCTATATTGTATATTCATAATTTCTATATTTTACATTCATAATCTCTATACTGTAGATTCATAATTTCTATACTGTAGATTCATAAAATTTATAATGGTAGATTCATAATTTCTATACTGCACATTCATAATTTCTGTACTGTAGACTCACAATTTCTATACTGCACATTCATAATTTCTGTACTGTAGATCCATAATTTCTATACTATAGATTTATAATTTCTATACTGTAGATTCATAAAATTTATAATGTAGATTCATACAGTATAGAAATTATGAATCTACAGTATAGAAATTATGAATCTACAATATAAAAATTATGAACGTAGAGCGCCATGCACATGGTGGACGCGTGTCAATAGCATAATTTGCCATCGAGATCAAATATTGTGGCCAAAATCGTTACATATCAGCTTCAATTCTTTATTAATGTTGATTTAATCATAGCTAGAAAGTGGATCAAAACTCTTACACAATCCTCACTGTAGAACGTACAAGTGTACAACATACTGTTAAATTTAGAACGTACAAGCACTTACATATTCATAGTCGAATTCTTTATCCATGTTGGAATTGTGCCATTGAGTTTATTTCCTCGCAGAAATCTGAAAAACAACTCAAATTAAGATTCTATCAAATCTAGCTTGCTTTGATGCATAATGTATAGCAGACTTGACAATAAGAAATACAATACAATATATATATATATATATATATATATATATATATATATATATATATATGTATGTATGTATGTATATAATGTTGTTGTGAAAGCAATGGATATGATATGTCTATGTAAACTTGCTTACATGTAAATTGGTGGGACCAGGGTGGAATAATTTGGAATTTGACCAAACAAATTATTGAAACTCAAGTCCCTGAAAGAAAATATATATGATGAACATAATCAAAATTAAACATGCCAAACTATTTTTTTACAATAATGTGATATGATGCCCGGAGAATAATTTAATTTGCGAATAACTCACACAAAATACAGACTGTTATTCCATATGATGTCAGGAATAGGGCCAGCAAGTGAACATTTTCTTAATGTCCTGATTGAATACAGGTAGAAGAGCATTATATATATATATATATATATATATATATATATATATATATATATAAAAGGGTATAGTAGTAGCTTCAGTTAAAAGCAAAGGGAGCATATTAAAGTATCTGAGAAATGAAAGCTCACAGCTGTTTCAAAAAATACATATTTGCAAAATTAGGAAATTGCGACTCTCTTCCTCCAACTAAGTCGCTTACATGCCTGCACAATATATATATATATATATATATATATATATATATATATATATATATATATATATATTTATATTTATATTTATATTTATACCAGATTAAAATTAAGATGTATTAAATAAATTTATTACAATAATCAAGCTCATTCGATCTTACAAGTCCTCAAGATTTGTCAAGTTTGAAATTGCAACAGTAGGGAGAGGACTTTCGAAACTCGTACTATTTAAAGACCTACTCGATCGATCGATCAATAAATGAGGATCCATCCATCATAATATATATAACCACAATTAAGTTTCATCATATGAATTGCGTTTAGTGCTAGGTATGTGTATATATATATATATATATATATATATATATATATATATATATATGCCTTACAAATATGTGAGGCTTAGTTGTCCAATGGAATCTGGGATTGGTCCACTCAAGTTGTTCCCTTGAACATTGCTGAAGAAATAATTAATTAGCAAAGCAGATGAGTGATTAAGTTGAAGAAATTAAGGCAAGCAAACATTATTATTTGCATACATACTTACAGATATTCAAGAAGAAGAAGATTTTCAAGCTTATCGGGCAGAGGACCAGAGAGGTTATTGTTACTAAGGTCCCTGAATTAATATAAACAATTGAAAATGTACATAAATTTTTAAAAGATATTAAATAATAAACCGAAAGAATGAACAAATTCTTGCCCATTAATTAATCGATTGAGTAAATAAATTATTTAATTATATACTCACAGCCATGATAGATTTGCGAGGGAACCAAATTGAGTTTGAATTGAACCGCTAAATAAATTAGAGGATAGATTCCTGCAATGAAACTCATAAGTATATGCAGTTCATATATAGCTCCATTTATTTATTTAATCATTATTTCCTGTATATAGCTCCATTCATTGAGCTATATAAGTACATTTCAGGTACATAGCTCCATTTATTTTAATACAGTAGTTACTTAATAAACCTGCAATATAAACGAATTGACTTAATGGACTTATATTTGTGATTTAATGAAATATCAACTTAATGTGTCTACAATAATAAACTTAATGTAACCTATAGTAGTAATTTAATGTAATTATATATCAATATAAGTGTCGTTTAAAATATTTTAATTGAGTTTTTCAATGATATATTTTTTATGCGTTAATTTTATTTGTACAACAAAAAAAAAATAAAAATAAATTTATATTAAAAAAGAATATAGGGAGAGAAATTAGGGATTGTTTGATATAGTTTGGGTTAATCTTGTCCACAAAGGTGAAATTTCCTTATCTAAGACTCTCACATCTCAACCTATTAGGTGGGAGGACTCTCTATAAGAAGCACACCACATTGGATGTAACTCCTACATTATTGCGGCTGTTAGGGCTCAACCCTGTGTACTTGTACACAATCTGTCACGAATGAACCAATTGATATAATTTGGGTTAATCTTATAAAATAGACCGCGGTGTAGGATATAACAATTTGGTGTACTCCGTAATAGTTATTGACCCAAAAATAGGATATCCAATTGAAAATGTGAACAATTCTTTTTTAAATAAATTAAAAATACTCTATCTGTTCCTTTTCAAAAAAAAAAAAAAAAACTTTATTTGTCTTATTTTATGTGTTTGGTTTGGTTAATAAGATTTGAGGTTATTAATAATTAATTTTTTTTTATAATATTAAGTTTAGTATTAGCATATAAAATTTATATATTTAGAAATTACGTTAAAAGTACTATTAAATACTAAAAAAAATACTAAAAAAGTTCTAAAATTATAAGAAGATACTAAATAAGAAAATAAGTGAATAAAAAAAGAGTTTGTTTGACTAATAAATAACGAACATGACAAGTAAAATTGATAGAATTGAAGAATAATAACAAGATAGAATGATTCTCGTTTATTAATTTACAAAAATAAATAAATAGATTACTCATATACTTACAGAAACTTTAGATTTACAAGGGAGTTTAGTTGAGGTGGAATTTGACCATCAAATGAATTACCAGCTAGATCCCTGTAGTGGAAACCACAAATACATTTTAGACAGTTTGATTTATTTATTCGGTTTGCTAACAAATAACTAAAAAACTTATGGAATACCATCTTACGTGAAAAAAAAAATATATCAAATATGTAAACAAAAAATAAATATTTTTCTATAAGTCAACATGTATATTTTTAACTTTGCTAAAAACTTTTGTGTTTTCCTGACAAGTATTGATAAAATGTAATAGTATACGTACTTTTAATTTGCATTAAAAAAAAGTAATAGTTGTTGATCTAAAAATAAGACATCAAATTAATTCAATTAGCTAACAAATAAATTAAAAAGTTATGTAATACCATCTTACTTGAAAAAAAAATCAAATATGTAAACAAAATTAAATATTTTTCTATAAATTAACAAGTATTATATTTTCAAGCTAGTTTGCTAAAAATTATTGTGTTTCTTTTACAAGTATTGGTAAAATGTAATACATATTTTTAAGATTAATACTTTTCAATGAGCTAACAAGTACAGAATATTACGTTTTCTAGTGTACTAAAAATATTACTTGTTCTTTGAAAAATACAGATAAAAAATGTTATAATTTTCTATAAAAATTAATAATTGTTGACATATAGTATTAATAAACTGCTCATATACTTAAAAATACATTCAATATACAAGAGGATATCAGATTGAAAATGTGCACAATTTTTAAAAAGAAATTAAACACTAAACAACATACATAAATTATTACCAGCTAATTAACGAAGAAGTAATTCTTTCCTGTTAATTAACAAAATGAGTAAATAAATTACGCATATATACTTACAAATACTTTAGATTTACAAGGGAACTCAGTTGAGTAGGAAATGAACCACTGAATAAATTTTTAGATAGATCCCTGTAGTAAAAATCACAAATATATTTTAGACGGAGTTTCATTTATTTATTCAATTAGCTAGTAAATAACATAAATTTAAGAAACCGTCTCACGTGGGACAAATCTCAAATATGTAACTTTTGAAAAACAAAATTGTAATTAAATACTTTTATGTGAGCTAACAAGTTTTATATTTTCTAGTTTACTAAAAATTATTAGTTTTTTTTATAAACGTATTGGTCAAATGTAATACTTTTTGACTTAAAAATAGGATATCAAATTGAAAATATGCACACTTTGAACAAGAAAAAAAAAAAGAAATTCAACAATAAACGAACTAATAGAATACGTAAATAAATTACTCGATCATATACTTACAGATGTGTCAGATGACTTTTTAGGGAAGCCAACTGAGTTGGAAATGGACCGCTAAATGAATTATCAGACAGATCCCTATAATGAAAATCACAAGTTTATTTCAAATAGAGTTACATTTATTTATTCAATTAACTAAGCTTACAGATAAATAGGATCTTAGATCGAAAGTTTTTAAAGTATGAAAATGATGCACAATACTTCGTATAACTTATTCCGACTAATAATTTTTTTTTTTTATTATTTTATAAATGAATCATACACGAGTAAAGAAATATAATAGTTCAATCACACAGACGACATTAGTAATATATAACATTTAAAAGCAACATAACTATAATTAAAAAAACATGTTAGATAATTTTACAAATTATATTTTATTAAATATAAAAAAGATAATTTTATATTAAATGACTTAATATTATTTATTTATATCACTTTACCTATAAAATTTTACTATTTATTTGTCAATAAAAAAAAAAAGAAGGTAAAATGTATGTGACAAATGAATAATTATATTGACAAATAAATAGTAAATTTTACCTATCATATTTACTAATAATTGGTTAATCAATTTGTTTCTACTTATTTTCTTTAACATTTTCTATAATTTTTAAATTTAATTTAATTTAATTTTTTTGTATTTAATAGTAATTTGGATATAGTTATAAATTTTTTATTAGAACTTTTAATATAATTTTATTAGTAAATAATGAAGTGAAAAAAAAAAAGAAAAAAAAGAAAAAAAAGAGGCAATTATGACTTTGTACTTATAATGTAATATAACCTTTTTCAATTAGCAAAATACTTTTAAAAGTTACAACTGAGAATGTAGAAAACAATTCAACTATTGTTTAGTAGTAAAGATACATAAGGTATATATTAAACAAATATACACATCATCTTAAAAATTAAAGAACATGGGGACAATATATGATAAAAAAAAAGGTGTATCAGTTTCATATATATATATATATATATATATATATATATATATATATATATATATATATATATATATATATATATATATATATATAGAGAGAGAGAGAGAGAGAGAGAGTATAGAGTTCAGGTGCGGCCTTAGTCTCACGTGCGGTCATGTGGATATATTAGAACCGTAGGATGAGTTGAGATCAAACGGTTGAAAATCAATGAAGAATAGAAATTACGCGATGGTAATTTCGTAATTTCTTGTACTATTTATATTTCGACGGTGCATTACGTGCTAGTGTGTGGTGCATTTTTGAGTAATTAATGGTACATTGATTTGTATTATACCACTCAACGTTGTCAAATCTGCCAACAGGTTCAATAGACCCATTATCGGGTGCTACCATGTGGTGCAAATTTGAGTGCTGCATGGTATATATATATATATATATATATATATAATCTGGTTTCAATGAGAACCACCATCTCTGTGAGTAGAGGTATGTAAACTTTGGTAAAAGTTTGGTTAAGTGACGGAATCGAAGAATTTCGGTTCGAAAGTATCAGTTTACCACACACACACACACACATATACACGCGCACACACACAAAGGCGGCTAAGGATCCTTTGAGAATAATACCATAGGAGATAAATAAGAACCAATCTCAATTTTACATCTGTAAAAATTTGACGAATCTGATAAGATTTTTTTAAAAAAATACAGTGACATTTTTGTAATTATCATCAACTTCACTATGCAAACTTGAACACTTTAACCACTATATATGCAAACTCGGTAAATTTTATAAAATCAACAGAAAAGATAAATTTTAAATTTAAACTGTAAATGCATTCAAAAAAAAATTAAATTGTAAATATTCGACCTTAAGCAGTAAAAAGTGAATCACTAAATCAAATAAAATCAAAAACTCAGTTATAAACTCTAGAATTGAAACCTGAATGCAATGCACTTTTGCATTTTGCAAATGCAATCTTTTAATACTAAATAAGTAAATATGCAAAATGTTAATATTAAATGTGCAAACCTGAAAAAGTATGAGAATTGTAGATTTTAGTGTTCATGTTTTCATAGTAAAGTTGGTGATAATTATAAAAATGTTATCATTTTTTTTTTTTTAAATTTGATATATGATCCATCCAATTTTTTTTATTAGATGTATGGTTGAGATTTGTTCTTATTTCTCTCCTAAATATTTGTTCTCATGTGATCTAATACACGCATACATACATACATACATACGTGCGTGCGTGCGTACGTACGTGTATATATATATATATATATATATATATATATATATATATATATATATATATATATAGTTGCGTTCACATGAGGACAATATCATGCACGCAATTTAATACACAATGACACACTAGCATACAAACATCAGGTTACGAGCCCAAGCTTTATTAATTAACAAATATATGCACACGACATACAAATGATGGCACATAACTACATTCGGTTATACATTCGGTTATGCACACGACATACAGACTAATGGCATACGACTATATCTGTCCTTACAATCCTCTATAATATAGTTGTCTTCATTTGAATATATATATATATATATATATATATATATATATATATATATATATATATATATATATATATATGAGTTTGTCAGAAGTCTTTTCAATTTAAGGATATAATTAATTGAACGTTCTTAAATCTATAAACTTTATTTCATGAAATAAAAAATAACCAAATCACAGATAGAGTAATCTTATTTTCCAAAACTATTATTCCATGTCTACCCCATTCAGCAAACCAATCACAATATCTCTTTTTTTTTTTTTTTTCTTATTTGTTTGTTGTGACAGTAATATAATGTTTTTTTTTTTTGTTTTTTTGTTTTTGTTTTTGTTTTTGTTTTTTTTTTTTGTTTTTTTTTGTTTTTTTTTTTTGTTTTTGTTTTTGTAACGAGGGTAATTCACACGACTAGTAGGTATGCACTAGGTAAATTATGTTTTGTGACCATAATTGACTGACTCAAATTAAGAAGGTCATTATTAGACTAATCCAACTTGGAGAAATATATAAAATGTTTTCTTCTGCCTATTAAAGGGAGTGTGGTGTTGACTTACAAAAAATCCAACTTCATATCACCAAGAAATGGGGGTATTGATCCTTCCAATTTGTTGCCACGAAGATTCCTATCAATTACAGGAGGATACAATAAATTTTTAAACAATGTTTATAATCATCATTCTTATTTCATTAAGTCAAAGCATGAAAAAAAAAAAACATTTTATAGTACTTACAAATGTTCGAGATTTTTTAAATTTGCATATGATGTTGGAATCTCGCCAGAAAATTTGTTCGAAAGCAACATTCTATAACAAATACAATAGAGACAACTCAACATATGCATATTTATCTTAACTACTTTGTAATACTTATTAAGAATCAAACGTAATAACAACATATATTATTTCATGCTGGATACTTACATCAATGTTAAATTTGTAAGGCTTCCAATTATTTCTGGTAATGGACCATCCAAATTCCGATCTGAAAAACCACTATAAAAGATTTGCAGGAAAATCAATAGTAATCAAAGATTTACACAATTAGCTAATAATTGGATTAAATAGCTAATTGGATCATTAGTTCATAGTTCAATACAAAGTTAGGAAAAACAGTACAAACAAATTGAAGATTATGATAAGAAAAAGAGTTTTTTTTTTTTTTTTTTTTTAAAGAAAATATTAACGAGATACAAATAGTAATAATCCAAAACTATATATTCTCTCTTAAAAAAAGTAATAATTTCTCAGAACTATATATTTTTCAGCATTATTTAATGTGTCTGGTTCAGTTAACAAGATTGGACTATTTCACTGAAGTTATTTACAAAATAATTTTTTATAATATTTAATACTGCATACACAATTGTTAAGGAAAATAACCAAAGAAAGAAAATGTGACATAACTGATGAATAGTAAATACGATATGTAATGTGACAGATGGATTAATTATTTAATAATATTTCTCTAATTTTATATATATATATATATATATATATATATATATATATATATATATATATATATATATATATAATTTTTTTTATGAGAAAATGGCACTTTTTTTCTCCAAAATTATATGCTTATAACATTTTCTTCCATAAATTATTCATGTATCCACAGTAGCCCTTTAATTATTTTAAAAGTGACAATTTTCCTCATTTCTGTTAAATGTATATTTGTACCCTTAAAAATAAGGGTAAAATAGGTATTTCATTTATTTTTTTCTTCAACAAATTATTACTTATTTGTGAGAATCAAAATAAATGCTTAAGAGAAAAGATATCATTTACAAATATTATAATTACTAGCATTTTGTACGCGCGATGCGCGAAAACTTATGCCCAATATTAAAATATTTGTAAGTAACAAAATTTACAAAATTAGTTAAAATTATGTTTTGCAATTTCTTAAAGCGATGATACTTTTGAATTATCATATATTTAAATAATATAGTGATCAAAACAAAAAAAAAAATTATATTTTTATATAATAATAATTTACAAATAATACTAAGCTAACACTCACATATATGATATATTAATATGGATACACAAATAATATACATACATATTATATATATATATATATATATATATATATATATATATATATATATATAATTTAGCATTCATACAAATATTTAATTAAATATAATTTATAATTAAATTAATTGTTATATGATAATTTTAATAAAATGATAATTAAAAATAGGAAAAAGATATGATAGATGTAGGTGTATGGTAAGATTGGTAGATATATTAAAAACTAACGGTGTTATAACGGCGTAAGGGTGATTTTGTCCAATGCAAATGAATGTACAACAATTAAAGAAAAATGTATATATTTATTAGCATATAAAAAGGGACAAAAATCAAGGACATAACTTGTATTGACACTTATTATGTTTTTAGATAATTCTAAGCTAATGTTATTAACCGGATTAAGACTTAAAATACAAATAATTCATTATTTTAATTCTAATTTTGTGTTTAAGTCCTAATTATATTACTATCATTAGCTTAATATTATAATTATAATATTTGTAAATGATGTCTGTTTTTTTTCGCATTTATTTTAATTCTCATATATAAGTAATAATTTGTTGAAAAAAGGAAAGTAACTTGAAATACCTATTTTGTCTTTATTTTTAACGGTCCAAAAACTCATTTAACATATATGGGAAAATTGACCACTTTCAAAATATATTGAGGGAACTAATATTGTGAATACATGAATAAATCAAATAAAAGAAACTATAAACATATAATTTAAGAGGAAAAGTATCATTTTCCCTATATTTATTCACATTTGTCCTTGACTAGCATCACTAAAACCACCTTCTCATCACGAAGAAAATATTTTGCATTGATACCACCCTCAATCTTGCTAGATCTCCCGATGAATAGTTACGGTTCATATTTTTTTTTTTTTTAAATAAATATAATTTATTTTTAATTAAATAATTATAATAACGTTAGAGATTATGACTCTGTTTGGAAAATATAGCTGAATAGCTAGTTGAAATTTAAAAAATTAGTAGCTGAAGTTAAAAGTTGGAAACTCAGATGTGTATTGGTTATAAAGCAGCCTAAAAAATTAATAAATCATTCTTACTAGGAGTTGAACTTGTAATTCAATAACCTAACCAATTTAGCTAAGGTTGCTTCTAATTTAAACTATTCCTAATAAGTAAGGAGAGGGAAAAAATATTGTGAAATGCCCTTCAAAGTTGAAAATAATTATGAAAATGTTATTATGTTTTATTCTTTTTATAATTTCATACCCAATGGTGCGGCCAATAAGTAGTTCTCGTTAGAAGTCAAACTTGTAATCTTATAATCAAATTCAAGATTGCAGCCAAATGCATGTAAACAAGAAAATCGCAAGAATTATTTGAACTATTAAAATAAAATGAATATATTACATTGCTATCACCCGGCAAACATCCTTATCGAGACCGCAGTCGCAAATAACGCTATCTGATCCACTTTGATCAATTTCACAATTCGTGCTATAAGTCCTCGTCTCACATCCAAGCAATTTAAGAATGGCTTTCTCTGGCATATGTGAAAGAGAAACAAAAATAAATAAATACATAAAAAACCAATACATAACATTTTAGTTGATCAATTATAACTGGTATCAAATAATTTCTCAATAATTAAATCCACTATAACTGTACTATAAGGGCATATGTCCATGACAAATTAAAAAAAAATATTCCAAAAATATATGAAATGTTATATTTGAAAATAAACATTATATTAAAACATGGCGTTCGTTCGGAAGGATTGAATTAAGGGGAAATGAATTGTAATTCGATTGAAAAAAGAATAAGGTGAGAATAAAGTAGGAATTTAAATTACAGTGTTTGGTATGAGAATAAATGATACAATGACTAAAATGCTCTTATGTAATACTCCATCCATCCTTAATTGATTGTCTCATTTACTTTTTGCATGATTTTTAATACAACATAACAAATGTTACTAACTTTCCAGTTTTGACCCTCAAAAGTAGGTGTTATTTGTACAAAGTACAATTGTACTTACCTCTAGAAATTTGAAAAGTCAAAAGGGTAAATTGAAAAGACAGGGTTAAAATAATTGTCTTCACAACAATATATTTCTCCCATTCCCCCACCGAATTAGAATTCCTTGGAGGGGTGTCATGAATTACAATTCGGTGAATGGAGGGAATTGCAATTTGATGGAATTGGAATCCCCTCCAACTAAACAAAATAATTGAGGAAAGAAACGAATTGAAATGCAAGTACAATGAAATTACATCCAACCAAACGGGTTGTTAAATACTGTATAGTTAATTTAAAATATCAAGAAAAAAAAAAAACTTCAGATATTATATTGGTGTGTGTAATCTAATGAAAAAGAATATTTATAGGCCGGCACTTACCATCATCGGCGCCAAGAGGTTTGACTTGTTTGTCAAGGTTGAGTATCTGAGTGCAGACTTTTTTAATACGTCCTGTTGTTGTTGTTACAGTTCCTTCTCCCATGGTTAGTTGAGAGTTGAGAGAGAAGAGCAGCAATAATAATATCACCTTTTCCATCTCTCATCAATAATTGAGTTGATTCAATTCTCTGCTTGTTTGATATCTCTCGACTCCACAACCTATGCCCTCCTATTTATATTGTTTAAACAAGTGGCAAAAAGAAACTTCGTTTATATTTTATTTGCACACTTAAATTATTAGGATAGACACTAAATTGAAGTTAAAACGCTATCTCTATTGTACTTTAAAAGTTGGTTCAAGAGAGAAAGTTTGACCCCGCCGACATCAGTACTAATCCACAACTTCTTGTGGAACCGATGTGTGATTATTGTATTATTCCACATTACCCTTTGAGAAGCTGACTACTATGACAACTCATACTCTAAACTCTCCTCAACACTAGCAGGTAGCCTTTTTCCCTTTGGATGACTTCATTGCGGACCTTATCAAGCACCAAATAATCTTTACTTAAGTCGCCTCCTCCACTATGCCAACATTGGACGAGACGAGTGGACGATTCTTACTCTAGCTAGATAGTTTTCGATCACTTTGAATTCTTATTAGTTTCATTTGAACCTTATCAAATATGGGAAAAGTCTCTTTGATCTAGGCAAGTCTTTCTTGTCATTGCACGCACCACTCACACAACAAAAGTACAAAATAATAGATCAAACAATCAAGCTAAGACCCTAACTCTACCACAAAAGATAGTTTAAAAGTAAATAATTAACCCCAACTTAAATCATATCTTATTATTTTCAACTTATTCGAAACAAATTTAATGTGTGTCATAACTCATAGGTAGTATAGTGTAGTGATAATCATATATTACGATTTTACTAATTAAACGTAAAACACATAAAAGTTCATTTTATTTAAAGAGTAATACTAAATGCATACATATTTTTGTTCACAGTCTGTACAACTTTATAGACTAATTTCACAATAATCTTTTTTATCCTCCCTGTCTCCCTCTATCATATACTCCCTCAATCATATTTTAGTTTGACTATATATATATATATATATATATATATATATATATATATATTAATAATTAAATGAGAACAACCTCTTGGGTACAAACGTGAGAACCAACATGAATGCATATAATTTACTATACGAATGCACACAAACTACTCTAAGGTAGATTGTGTGCTTGAAATAGTAAAATATGTGCATTCATGTAGAAGTTCGGAGGATCTCAAGTAAGGGGTGGTTCTCATTTGAACATAAGCCTAAGGTGATATATATATATATATATATATATATATATATATATATATATATATATATATATATATATATATATATATATATATATATATATATATATATATATATATATATAGAGGTTCTCGTGCGGGTGAGGGTTTCAGGTGCGGTTGTGCGGTTTAATCTGAGCCATTCATCTCTCTTTAATCAATGTCCAGGATTATCAAAATTTTAAAAAAAAATGCGGTGGCAATTTTGTAATATCTCGGTCAAAATTAAGGTGAGTGGATCTGTGATTAATGTGCGTGAGTTTTGTGCTTAATGTGCGTGTGATTTGTGCTTAATGTGCGTGAGGTTTGTGCTTAATGTGCGTGGGGATGTGCTTAACGTGAATAGTTGTTAAAACTTAAAGTCTGTGAGTGAATACTTAAAGTGCGTGAGTTTTGTGCTTAATGTGCGGGATGTTTGTGCTTAATGTGCGTGAGTTTTGTACTTAATGTGCGTGAGTTTTGTACTTAATGTCAGTAGTTGTTGAAACTTAAAGTCTGTGAGTTAATATTTAAAGTGCGTGGGTTTTGTGCTTAATGTGCGTGAGATTGTGCTTAATGTGTGTTGGTTTTGTACTTAAAGTGCGTGAGTTTGTGATTAAGATCTAACACTTAAGGTGCAGATTAACTTATACTTCTTTGTTCCAGGCACGCGCTTTTTTTTTTTTTTTTTTTTTTTTTTTTTTTTTTTTTTTTTTTTTTTAAAAATTTTCATTGATTTGAGCCGTTGATCTAAATTTGATCAACTGCTCAGATTTAACCGCACAACCGCACAGGAAGCTATACCCGCACCTGAACCCTTCCATATATATATATATATATATATATATATATATAGGGAAGGGATCGGGTGCATTTGAGGCTTCCCGTGCGGTTATGCTGGTGGACGCACGTTAAACATTAATCTGACGCACTTAAAGTACACAACACACGCACATTAAGGGTGGACCTGATTGGGCAGCGTGGCAAAACCTTTAAGATCAAACAATAAGGCTAGTTTAACCTGATTGGGCAGCGAAAGCAAAGAGCTAAAAATTTTTGAAGTGCTGCAACTAAGACCAGTCGTTGCTAGAGCATCCGCAACCCGGTTGGCTTCCCTGTAAATATGTCAAATGCTCGATCCCCATGAATTCAGGCTGGACCAAATGTAAGAAATGGCAGCTGCAATTCTCCATGGAACCCTCGTATCCTGCGATGAGATCGGGTGGCAAGAGCGAGAGAATCAACTTCCACTTCTAAGGGTCTTCTGGCAAAGGATTCACACTAATTAAAACTTGATTTATATTTTATTTGCTCAGTTAAATTTATTAGGATAACACTGAAGTTAAAACCCGAATTCTATTATATTGTAAAAGTTGGCTCAAAAGAGAAAGTTTGACCCCAATATAAGTATTACTTTATAAGTTCGCGTGGAATAATCAATGTGTGATTGTATCATTACCTGGCCTAAACTCTAAACTCTTCTCAGTACTAGCAGTTAGTCTTTTCCTCTTTAGATGACTTCATTGCGAACTTTACCAAGCAACAAATAGCCTTTACTTAAGTTGCCAACTCCACTATGTTAGCATCAGATGAGCGGAGAATTATCACTCTGGATAGTCTTCACTTTGAATTTTCTTGGTCCCCTTATCAAATACGGAGAAACCTTTTTCCAGCTAGTCTTTATTATCACACATAATGATAGATTAGACACTCACGCTAATACCCTAACTCCACCGTAAAATATACTTTAACAGTACACTAATGCTTGACCTCAACTTTAATACCACATTATAATCTCTAGCTAGTGAAGTCATATCATTTTTTTTTAATTTATTCAAGAAATTTTATTAATGTGTCATATGTAGTAGCTAGTACAGTGATAATCATATTTTACAATTTTACTAAACATACAACACAAATAAAAAATTCCTTTTATTTAAGGATCAGAGTTTCGTACTAAATGCATACATATTTTTGTTCACAGTATGCTTTACACGTGCTGATACAACCCTGTACAACTTTTTAGACTGATTTCACACTAATCTATTCAGACTAAAACAATTATATATGTTTACATTACATTATTTCATTACTCAAAAGTTTGATAAAGTAGTGCGTTTAGTGGTATGGTCCAACTTAGAGATTCCTGATTATATTAAAAGCAATATTTGATACTCCCTCTATCATATTTTAGTTGTACTATATATACTTTTAATAATAATCTATCTTAAAATATAAACTTTCATATCCCTAGCATACTTCAAAATTAAAATTCCGAACTTAAAGAGTTAAGAGATAGAAGATGCTTGCAATCATTGATGTTTTTTTATTAGCAAATGCGCATATACATATGCTAATTAATTAAAAACAAGATAAGGTAAGCTTCTCTTGTTCAATTTTCTTTCTTCCACGTTAATCATGCTATACCACATTGTGTAACCTTTTTTGGTCTTCAATTTGTTAACTCACTTTTTATTATTTTTATTTGACTCTTTTTATTTTATTATTTTTAATCAAATAAGGGCACTTTCAAGGAAACTCTCTTAGCAAAACGAGAACATAGAACTTAATGAGTTATTTCATTTTTGGTATTAAATTAAATTTATAGGTTACAATTTACTTTTATTTTTTATTTTTCAAAACATCTCCTTTAGTCCTAGTACTTACTGCACCACACATTAATACGTGGAGCACTTATAGATGTACCACACACTAATACGTATTGCACCACTGGAATGGCGCAATACTAAGTGTATTACAGATCAAGTGCACAACATATCACTCAAAAATGCACCACAGAGCACTCATCGGTGCACACCACATACTAACATGTAATGTACTACAAAAATAAACATGTTGCATGAAATTACAAACTTACCACTGCATATTTTCTCTTCTTCATTGATTTCCATATGTTTAATATCAACTCATCCTACGGCTCTAACATGTACGCACGACTGCACGGGAGAGGAGAGTCGCACCAGAGTATGGACCTATGTGTGCAGGGACAGAGCCAGAAAACTTGAGTTGAGGGGCCGATGTAGTAGAGAAAATTTACAATGTTAGTTGACATTATAATTAATTGCACCATATTATTATATATACCATACATTATTGTGATTATTATTGATAATGATTTCTAATTATACTATGTGTAATAAAGTATGAAATACATAATTATATGAGTACGATCGACACATGTATCAATCATTACTTTAGAATTTTTTTCACATAACACAAAATATAATAATAACAATAACAACAACATTTATTTAAATATAGATTGTCACTTAACATCAAATAAAAAGTTTTGTCAATTATTTTGTCACCAAATTTTTTCATAATTAACTTATATTCATTTTACTGGTTAACTGAATATTTTAAAATTTGAGAGATAAAGACAAAAATCAAGATGAATTAAATAATCAATATTAATTTTTGTCAATTTAAAAACTAATCATTTAAACTAGTAAATGTACATTTTAAAAATGTAAATAAATAATTAAAACACACAATAAATCACTAATTAATTAATCAACATATATAACTAATAAAACCAAAGCATATATCTCAAATTTGGAGATTTTTTTTTTAAAAATTAAAATGTATACTTGATGCCATTCATTATTAAAATCTTGATAAAAGAAATAAGATAATAAAGAAAAATGGTCACTTTAATTATTTGATTTATTTCTTTTTATTTAATGAATTTGAATTTTAATATATATTTTGAGTTTATTTAATATAAACATAATAGATTTTTCTTATAAAAAAAAATTAGAGGGGGACCAAAAGTGTATTTTATCCCTACTGTATCAATATATACATACATGTGTGTGTGTGCGTGCGCGCGCGTGTGTGTGTGGGTGTACACACACACACATACACAAATGAGGACACGTATATTATAGAGGATTGTGCAGACAGGTGTTGTCGTGTGCCATTAGTCTGTATGTCATGTGCATGGCCTAATGTAGTCATGTGTCATAGTCTGTATGTCGTGTGCATGTATAGGGGTGATAGGTGTAGCCGTGTGCCATTAGTCTGTATGACGTGTGCTTGGCCTAATTTAGTCGTATGTCATAGTTTGTATGTTGTGTGCATAGGATTATTAATTAATAGAGTCTGGGTTCGAAACCTGATGTTTACATGTATGGTAGTGTGTCATTGTATATTAAATTGTGTGCATGATACTAATTTATGGTGTGCCCAATATTTGTTCGCAGAGTCCTTTATATATCACTGTCCTCATGTGAACTCAACCATATATATATATATATATATATATATATATATATATATATATATATATATATATATATATATATATATATATATATATATATATATATATATATATACTTACATGCACACAGCGCATAAGAGGAAAAATCACAACCATCCATCAAAGCTCATGCACACATTAACATACTTACATGCACACAACGCGTAGGAGGAAAAAATTACAACCATCCATCAATGCTCGTGCACGCATTAGCATACTTACATGCACACTGGGCACACTGCCAACAATATCTGGGATTAGCTCGTGCACACATTAACATACTTACATGCACACAATTTGTATTTTAAGGAGGGTTTGTATTTTAAGGTGGTTTGTATTTGAAAATAATCCTCTCTCTCTCTCTCTCTCTCTCTATATATATATATATATATATATATATATATAATCTAGTGCGAAGAAGGTCCCAGGTGAAACATGCGGTGAGGTCTGAGTAGTTGATCAAATTGAGATTAACGGTTCAAATCAATGAAAAGAAAAAAAAGGAAGTTGCGTCTTGAGAAGACAGAAACAAAGTGTAAAACGGCACACCTTAAGTGTTAGAATGTCACACCACTACTAAAAAACATGGCTATAGTGACGGACGGGTTCCGTCGCAATTAGTCACAATTTCGACGCAAAAGAGAAATTGCGACATACTTTGCGACAAAATGTGATCGTTGCATCAGGTTGAATCGCAATTGCTCAGTTGCGACTGTTTGTCGCAATTAATTATTATCACCAACGATCATATTTCTGTCACGATATATTTAATTTTGTCGTAATTTGTAGCCGAAATCAGTCGCATTAGTTTGTCGCGAGGTGTCGCAAATAATAATTTTGTTCGTCGCAATTATGCTTATTAGTCTGTCGTTTGTATTAATTTTTTGCCGCAATTGATTTTACAATCGTTGCAAATACTTGCTCATATTCGTCGTTGTTTCCAAATTTTTGTCGAAATGTATGTCGCAATTTTATTAATTTTAAATGTCATTCGTCGAATCGTATGTCGCAATTGTTGTTATATGTTTGTCGTTGTAATATGATGCAAATTTCTTAAATATAATTTTGTTTGTCGCAATTATATGTCAATTGTGTCGTAGTTAATATTATAATATATTATAATAATTATATTTTACGTCGTAGTGTTTGTCGCAATGTTTGTCGTAAATCACAACATTCAAACTAGTATAATTTATAATTTTCCTGTCACAAATCTTTTGCATATATACAAAATAAGTATCACCCAATATAAAATAGTAAATTCAATTCATCATAGATATAATTAGTTTAATACAAATCGGCTCCATCGCCCAAAAACAACAAAAAAACCACTAATATTATGGGGTTGCTAACTAATATCTTCCTCTAAATTGGAGTTAAGAGCTGTTAGCTAACATCATACTAATATACAAAACATAAATCCCAATGGACAAGCTAATCCAAAAAATATGTTGGGATAGTTTAGCTTGTCAAAGTTGTAACCAAAAAAGAAGTTGATGTTAGCTTTGTACATGCATAATCACAAAATACTATGTGCTGCACCAGATTAGCAACATACTAAATTACCATATATGGTGCTTCCAATTCATCATGTCCATCCCCATCCCTTTCATCATGTCAATCACCACCCCTATTACTTTCGGTTTCTTGACTGTCATTTTGTGAAGTATTTGGATTATCACCACTTGATGATGGTGGAACATTGTCTCCAAATGCACTATCCATAGGATGATAGCCTAAAGAAGATAACATACCAGGGAGTTGTTCTGACAACCATTTCTTGAAAAGCTCTTGTAATGCCTCATTTGCTACATTAGGTACATTAGTAGTTGTGGATCTTTGGGTTGAATTTTCACCTAGAACAGACTTTCAATTCTCAAGAGCTCCAAAACCATACAAATGGGAACGATTGATATCACCAATTGCATATTTCCATGCATCAGCATCAAATATCACTTGAGAAGAAGAATCACAACCATGTTTCTCTTTCAAAGCTGTGTCATATTTCTCCTACACCATATTTTTTTATTTATAAAATTAGAAACTAATATAAGCATCATATAACTATATAAAAAAAAAACTTAAGTAACTAATAAGAAGAATAATACTTCTAATACTTACACTGACAGATTTTGATTTTCCATCCACAAATTGGCCACCATCTTTCTTACGGGTATGAGTTGCATTGAAGATTTCTAGTTGGGATGGTTCTCGTCCTAGTGATTTAGCCTAGCAATTATTAAAACAATTTATTATTAGCATAAAAAAATTAGTTAAAATGACAAGTATTATAAAATAGTGAAAAAACATCATACCATCTTATGCTTATGTTTAACAAAAGAACATGAACCAGCAGTATGTTTGGTGACACTTCCTTCCTTTAGTGTGTTGCGATTTTTTGCAGCTTTAGCAGATTTCTTCATCCATTCCTCTTTGGACCAAATATTGTCCACAAAATGATTCCAAACTGGTTGCGGGATCCAACTTTCTCTATGCTCTTTTACTTTTTCCTAGTTAGCATTTGGATCATAGGGATTAATGTCAGCCTTAGTGCATGCAGTTTTTCTTCCTCTACTAATAGCATCCCTAAACCCCTTATTAGCTTTGGCATACCATATTTTATACACATTTTCATTTTTATCTTCATCCCAATGATATTTTTCCTAACATATAGAAAAAAATACGATTATATATCTTATGCTAAATAAAAAGAGAATATTGTTGCTGAAAATCTAATGAAATGCATCAAATGTTTGTTAAATAAATCAACACTATTACCTGAAATTTTGCCCATAAAGCAGCTTTTGTATCATCTGAAAATTGAGCCCAAGTTGGCCAAGGATCATTAAAATTTGATTTCACCATAGCAGAAATGTCAGCAGCAACTCCATCTTCTAGAAAATCACTATACTTCAAATAATAAAATAGTTAAATACATGCCATGCAAGCTACTAATAAATAATTTCTCAATTAAGAAAAACATAATTATACCCAAAAAATAATAAAATAAAAAGTTAATAAAACACTACCTCCCACTTATAACATTCAATTTGATCCTCTTGGAAGGATCAGATGGTAGAGCTCTACCTCTATTAGGCCCCCTCCTTTTTGTTTGTTTAGTTAAAGTAGTGATAGATTCATGAAGTGATTGAACAGTAACTTCTACAGCTTCTTCAACATGATCATCAAGTGGTGTATTTAACAAAGGTGCATCAGATTGGAGTCCATAAGATATAGATGCAACATGATTAGGTGGAGCATTGGATTGTGATCCATGAGGTGGTGCATTGGATTGCAATCCATCAATTAAAGGTGCAATAAGAGGTGTGGATTGCAGTCCATGACCATTGACAAAATGTGATGGATTAGAAGTAAGATCATCAACAACAACTTGTGCAAAACGACTAGAACTTCCGCTTACTTGAGTTTTATTCTTTCTACCCCTGCCTCTAGTCACCATTTTACCTATAAGAAGGATAAAAAGTATAGTTATAAAAATGAATTAATTATAGAAATAAAACAGCATAATTAAAAAAAAAACTAATTACAAGTACTAAGTATAACCAATTAAAAGGAGAAAAAAATGTATAGAATTTGATGATTTTAACTGTTAATCATCATAAGAATCAGATGACATGAATGCTATTTCATCTTCCTCATTCTCATCTTCATCATCAACCTCTTCATCTTCTTCTTCAACTTCAAGCAATTCTTCTTCCTCAATTTGGATATGTGTTTGCTCTTGAACCATATCCACTTCTTCCATATAACCTCCATCAAGAGTACACTCAACATCTAGTCCATCTGATGGAGCAATAGTTGTTGGAATCATTTCATCTTCTTGGTAAATAAATTCATTGCCATCCTCATTTTCATAATCAATGTTTGAAATTCTATCATATCTATTTCTAGCCTTAACTTTATAAACAGCCCACCAGTTACGCCTATTTTGTCGAGTGCATAGATAACAACTATAATAGACTTGTTGAGCTTGCTGGGCCAACACAAAAGGTTCATTAGATGCAAGTCTTGACTTGTGATTAACCTCAACCAAACCATTATAAGGATGCACCCTAATACCTCTCTCAGTATCAAACCAATGACCCTTGAAAAGAACTATGTTATTACCAACTCCAAAATACTCCAAAACATAGATATCAAGCAAAACACCATAGTAGTCACGTTCATATTCATTATAACAACTTCCTTTCACCCAAATTCCACTATTCATTTTTTTTTTTTTTTGTGCTGCCCATATTTTTGTGTATGAAACTTAAATCCATTTACAAAATATCCTTTATAAATGGTGACAATTTGGGATGGACCTCTAAATAGCTCGTATATACGACTATGCACATTAATAAATCATAAATATATAAATTAATAAATCATATCATTAGTAAGTTTGAAGTAATAAAATATAGATCACTTATTCTAATTTGTAAATAGTAAAACTTACATATTGTCTAAACCATGAAGCAAATTTCTTTTCACGAATATTCTGTAATTCATCTTCACCTATTGTTGGTCTTGCTTCTTGTATCTCATCATCAAATTTCCTAACATTAGTTTAATAGTTCGAGGTGAATTATTTTTAAATTTTTTTTATCTATATATGTTATAGAGATTAAGTTTGACATACTTACTCAATATATGGTACAACATCTTCACAGTTCATTAAAACCTAAATTTCAGCAGCATTATACTCATCATCACTTAGGTATCTACGAATACCTTGCCCTAACAGTCGACCCGGAAGAGTAAAAATTGACAAACGATTGTTTGCATCTACATCTCCACCATCATCATTACGAGGAACACGGTTCAATCGTGTTTGAACATGATCTTCAAAATAATGTGAGCAAAATGTAAATATTTCTTCAATCAAATATGCTTCACATATTGATCCTTCAACATAGTTTCTGTTCCGCACTTTTTTTTTAATTGATGCAAAAACCTACAGAAGAGAAGTGAAAATCATTTTTTTTGTAAGATTGTTACAATGATAGTGGGAAATATGTTCTAGAAAGTTATACCTTTCAAATGGATACATCCATCTATAATGAACAGGTCCGCCAACTTTAACCTCATAAGCTAAATGAATGGGTAAATGCACCATGGAATCAAAGAACCCAGGCGGAAAATTTTTTTCCAACTTACAAAGGATTTCAATAATGTTTTTCTCCAATATTTCCAAATGTTGAATTCGTAATTTACTTGAGCAAATATCTCTAAAAAAGTGACTAAGCTCTGTAATGGCATCCCATATCGGTCTTGGTAAAAAATCACATAAAGCAATCGGTAACAATCGCTGCATAAAAACATGGCAGTCATGGCTTTTAAACCCTCCAATCTTGCAATTCTCCACATTTACACAACTAGCAATATTTGAAGCATAACCATCAGGAAATTTTAATTGCTTGATCCATTCACAAACAACTTTAATTTGATCCTTACTTAGTGTATAAGAAGCCTTTGGCATATAAAATCTTCCATTCTGTTCAACTAACTCCAATTCGGGTCGCTTACAATATACTTTCAAATCCATCCTAGCTTTTATATTATCTTTTGTCTTGTCTTTTACATTCATCACTGTATTAAATACATTTTCAAAAAATACTTTTTTTCACCCAATTATGATTTTTTCCAATAAGGCAACTCCCAAAAAATACTTTTTTTCACCCAATTATGATTTTTTCCAAAACCCGGTATAGTTTGTTTACTACATTGAGTACCAAATATGATATCAGGCAAAGCACAAACTTGAGCAAACATTTGTTCCCCAGATAATCTCTCCATTAAAACATCTTTCTCAACAGGTCTCATGAACTTATCTCGTTGCTTTCTATAAGCATGGTTTAAAGGCAAAAATTGCCTATGACAATAAAAAAATGATGGTTTTCCACCATGCTTCAAGTGGAAAGCCTTGGTTTTCTCCATACAATATGGACAAGACAATCGTCCATGGGTACTCCATCCAGATAGCATGCCATAAGCTGGAAAGTCATTAATTGTCCATAACAAAGCAGCACGCATTTGAAAATTCTGTTTCCTATGTGCATCAAAAGTTTCTACCCCCGTAGTCCATAAATCTATCAACTCATCCACTAAATGTCTTAAAAATATATCAATATGCTTTCCGGGACTATTGGGGTCTGGAATGATCATATTCAAAAATAAATATGGCTGCTTCATGCACATCCATGGTGGTAAGTTATACACTGTAATAATAACTGGCCAACATGAGTATGGTTTTGCACTAGGTCCAAATGGACAAAATCCATCTGCACATAAACCAAGTCTTACATTTCTTGTTTCAAGTGCAAATTCTTGATGAGTACGATTGAAATGTTGCCATGCTTCACCATCAACAGGATGCCTTAATTCTCCTTCTGGACTTCGGTTAAATTCATGCCATGTCATATGTTTTGCTGTTTTCTTAGACATATAAAGTCTTTGTAACCTTGGTATAAGTGGCAAATACCTCAAAGTCTTAAAAGGTACCCCTTTTTTTTGTACTAGTTCATTTCACAGGTTTATACCGAGGATGACCACACAAAGAACACTCTGTTAATGTCTCTGCTTCTTTATAAAACAACATACAATTGTTTTGACATGCATGAATTTTTTTATAATCAAGTCCCAATTTTCTCATCATGTTTTTAGTCTTATAGAAATTTTTTGGAAGCTTATCACCTTCAGGCAACATGTCTTTTACTATTGAAATAAGCCGATCATAAGATGAATCGCTCATGTTACACTCTGACTTACAATTTAACAACTGAGACACGGCTCAAAGTTTTGAGTGCTTTTTGCAGCCATCCCATAATGCCTCATCGGCATCATTTAACAAAGAAAAGAATTCTCTTGCACTAGGATTAGGCAACTCCCCAACAGAAGTATCATTATCCCTTTCATTTTCATTTAAACCAAAATCATTTAAACCAAAATTTGGAAAGACGCCATCAATTACCATGCTTTGGTATGCATTTACATTATCATCTCTATTTCTATGCACCCCATCTCTATCATTGTACTGATTAAAAGTTTCACCATGTGATGACCAATTCCAATAACCTTCAATGAAACCTTTAGAATATAGATGGTATACTACAATATCTCTATTATCGAATTCCCTATTAGCACACAAGACGCAATGACATCGGATAGTGTCATCAAAAATATATTTCGAATGATTGAATGCAAAATCCAAAAAATCTTCTACTCCCGTTTTAAATTCACTACTAACATATCCTGATGCGTCTAGCCGATTATACATCCAAGAACGAAAGTTTGACATTTGCAAGATCTAACATATATAAACAAGTAGAAAAAAAATCAATTACATTAAATAAATTATTCTATATATATATATATATATATATATATATATATATATATATATATATATATATATATATATATATATATATATATATATATATATATATATATATATTGTGTGTTTGTCCAAAAATCTTATTTACCTTAAAATTACTCCAATTGGTACTTCACTTCATTGGTTTTGATTTGTCATGCTTTACTTCAAGGGAACAATTCTCTACTTCTATTTTTTTTTTTTGTTTTTTTTTTTTTTTGCTTGTGATGCTTTGAAAGACTTCTTGTATTTCTGTATCAATATTGAAAAGTAAATATTATATAAAAAATGTATTACTATTTCTTAACAAAGATAAAACTTTCTCAGTAAATTCTCTACTTCATAAAGCTACTAACAATACAATCATGTTAAACAAACAAACAAAAACAAAAAAACCACCTAGACAGAATAAAGAAATAATTAATCATCACACCGCACACAAGCAACAAGCAAGAAAAAAATGCATATTATTCTGAATACAATAAAAATGAGTTTAATATTTCTTGAAATTAATAACCTTTACATTTTCCTGTTTTTGTTTACATTTGTATGTCTAGGAAAGAGTTGGATGAATAGGTTGATAGGAAAAGAAAATGCATGCACATGTAAATTACTGTTCTAATGGGGATGTAAAACAAATACAAAAAAAAAAAAAAAAACTGTTAAACTTTGTGCAGGGAAGAGAAAGGAATTACAGTAATTCAAACCTTAAAGTATTGAAATCACAAGATGAAGTAATCCAAACCTGTTGGTCCCGAAAGGGTGGCGAGAAGTCTAGAGGGGGGGGGGGGGGGTGAATAGACTTCTCTAACTTTTTAAACTTTCTTCAAAAACACACAAGGCAAATAACACTTTGGTAATTTCAACTCTAAGTAACAAGCATTAACAGGATAAGCAACTTAGAGTGTGCAGCGGAATAAGTAGCGGTAAAGTGTTATGCTTAATTAGTGCGGTGTTCAAAGAGATATTCTAAACATGCAACATGTTAGAAACACTTGATATGGTTCAAGGATGATGTACGTAAAGTTTGGCTTGCATGCAAACGTGGGAACTATCAAACCCAGACATATAAAGATAAGCGATAAATCGTAATCGGGTTAGTTCGCAGTTAGAATAAGCATGCACAAAATATATGAGCAGTAAGTAAATAGAGAGAGAGATTTATAGTGGTTCAGAGGTGGTGTAATCCTCCTAGTCCACTCTTCTCCTTTCACTTCAAGGAGGAAATTCACTATTCTTCGATCACCCAGATACAATAGTGAATAAGTGTCCACCGACACT